CCACCTTGATGTTTCAGGACCCCACTTTGGGTCCCGACCCCAACTTTGGGAACCACTGCTCTATAGTGTGAGTAATGTGAGGTGTACGTATTTTTCAGACTATAAGCTGCGACTTTTTTCCTGAACTTTGAACCATGCAGCTTACAGTCCGGTGTGGCTTATATGTGGATTTTTTTTCTTCAGCCACCAGGGGGCTCTTTAGCCAGAGGTGTGGTTGCCGCGAATAAAAGGAAGAAGACGAAAGCGCCATTTTGTTTTAACTAGTAGCAGACACGGCATACCGCTATGTGACGCAGCTTTTCTGAGCTAGTTCAACTCTGACACTGAAGAGGAGGACTTCAATGGTTTCAGTGCACCAGAAGAAGATGTTTGAGATGTTTTGTTGTTTTGTTGGACCAGAAACTGTTAAAGGAAACTACCAAAATAAGGTCAGTTAAATGAACCGTATTCCTCCGAACTTTCATTCCTAAAGGTTTGCTTTTTTATGTTTTGATACTGAATTCACTTTTTTGACGACTGTTTTGGGTGTACTGTTTTTTATGTTGGGGGTGTGGCTTATAGTCTTAAAAATACGGTACATAATTCCCATAATGCATGGTGGAGCTCAGAATAAAGATATTTAAATGAAGTTCTGAACTTAAACTCTTACTTATATCCAAAGCTCTCAACAATCAACCATTTATTTTATATTAGCAGATCTATCCATTATCTTTTCCTAGCTCATTCCTTTCAGGGTCACAGTGGTCAGTGGTGTGTGGTACACCCCGGGCAGGGCCACACAAAGAAACAAACAACCATTCACACCCACACCTAGGGCAATTTAAAGCTACCTAACACAACAGTTAGGCATGTCTCGATCAGAGCTTCAGATTTAGTCATGTGATCGGGCCGATCCAGTTTTCAGCATCATCATGCTTTACAACTGCTGTTAAAAAGTCAAGACGCACACAAGTACACAACCATGTCCACAGTGTGGGAACACTTTTCAAAGGAAAACAATGATGCTGAAACTGGATGTTTCTGGTGGTGGAACAGCAGGGATCACTTTAACACAACTAACCATGTCACTTGTGTAACCATAAAGATTAGTTTAGTTAAATATGATTTTTGCACAGAAAATCCACACATAGCTGAAATTATAATGAGGGAAAAGTGATATGTCCTCTTTTCTCCTGTAACTTTGATAATCATTCTCTGATTATCAAAATGCGTAATACTTTCAGTTAAGATAACAATAAATCAAATAAGACGAAGATTCTTCTGTCTATTATCTGATTAAAAGGGAAGAAAATGTCTCTCTGAAAAGTTAACGTGACCAGAGGTGGACTAAATTCACACTGCAAAAACTGTCCATCTTACCAAGTTTTAAAATCTTATATCAGCCAAAAAGTCTTTTTGATCTTTTGACACTGATTTACTAAACAAGAACTGATTGTGTAAGAATAATCATCTTGTTTTCAGAATGTGTAAGATTATTTGTCTTGTTAGTCTG